ATATAATAACGGCTAAATATAATTTGGAGCAAATTTCTTATTAATGGCAAATTTCATTTCTAATATGGCTTTGTATTGGTTTATATAATTTGGAGCTAATTTCTAATTGGTGACGAATGTCGTTATTACTTTGAATGACTGCGCATCCTTAAAATGTGGTTCACTAGATTGGTCTTCTTACATAATATATCTAAAGAATCATAAATATATCTAAGGAATTTCCATTTAAATCGACGTATAAACATTACGAAATCATTATGCAAATTAAAGATTTTTTCATTCTATTTGCCAAAAGAAGTTTAAGTTGCCTAAATCTGATAGAATGCAAAGATATAGTTTCTGAAAAATTATTTTGATTTCCCATCAATTTATTGACTGTACTTGTTAGGAGACGTTTTCAATTTTCCAAAGGAACTGGGAGCTATCTGTCCGAAAATAAAGTGAGTTTAGTATCGAGGAACCTGAGGGTAAAATGGGTATAGTGTACAGCGCACCGACGCTTGACGGAGACCATAAATAAGGATCCGACGGTCGGCGCGGCTGCAGGCGGTGATAAGCGTTCCTTTACCCCCACCAGTGCAATCCTTTAGACTTTCTCGTGCGTCATCTTCCTCTTACCAAGCCTATCTATGCAACACCCCAGAAAGTTACAGAAAGTTATCAAACTGAAGTTCAGTTGGATATTAAACATTTATTGAATCAACGAGCATTGAGAAATTTATGAACGTCAACAAGATGTATAATGGATTTGGTTAATATTAAAAATAATGTAATAATGTAATGAAGCGATTTTTCTTATGTTCTTGCTGTTGAATGGTATTTTTTATCTGTTTACATCGCGTTTTTAATTTTTAAAATTTTTGCTGATCCGAACGACTTTAATTTGGAATGTATACTTGCAACACAGTCTATTCAAAATTAAATTTAAATAGAGAAGTACTAGGTATAAGGCTTGTAACGCCACATAAAATTGGTATGAATACAATTTTTTTTAATTTTTCAATTGTCGATAATTGAGGGAATGTGTCTTAATTCTTTTTATCGGTTTTATCTTTTTATTCTAAAATTATATTTATCGCACGAATCGATGAAAAATATTTTGCATCTAAAATATTATTCGATTTAGCTAATTTCTAAATTGTACGTACTTAGAAAAATAATATTTCTACTATTTATGATGTTAATGTTCAAGTAACGTGTTGATTGTATTTTCGAATATTTGATAATAATATTAAAAATAGCGTAAACACATGGAATATTTGGAATTCACTAAATGGCGATACTTCTTGATATCAGCGGAAATATATAGAGTTGCATATCGCTTGTCCTTGTATCGAATGAAGGGGTTTACGAATACTCGAGGTGCTTGAGCGTTTCCCGACCGTATAACGAATAAGTATAGCCGGGCTGCTTCATCCCCTACGGGCAGCACGAAGCGACCATTTCTCATATCAGTTTAGCCGACACTTTCGAGAACTTGCTCAGGGAGCCTCGGGCGTCGCGATGTCATCCGATGCCTCTTGCCCTCTTGCGTTCTTGCCCGCCCCTGGGTCTTCCATCCCTCTTCTAACTGCGCGACACCTTAGCGAACCTCCCTCTTTGACCGAAGAAACCCCCTTTTGTCGTGTCTCTACTCGTGGTCCGCGATTTGCGCCCTTTCTCGGTTTCGCAACCCCCAAAGTGCCGGCCGAGTGCCCGCGGCCTGAAGATAAGTGTCGCCCAAAACTTAACAAACCTTAGATGATAAAAGGATCTGTCAGGTCTTGAATCATTCTCGAAAAAAAGAGCTGCGCATGGCCAAGTATCTTATCTGTAATTCGAGCACAAGACGCTTTAAAAATCGATGTTTCCTGTTTTTTTATTAAAAAATATAATCTCTCTAGAGATAATAGAGAGCCGAAGTAATAAATATGTATTATAAAACTGTTTATATATGTCAAGATTGAAAATGAGCTCTTGTCATCATTTGCAATATATTTGAAATTGTTACATGAGTTAGTTTAATGTGATAAAATCATAATAAACATATCATATATTACTGATTTGAGATGCGAAGAAAACTATAGTTCTTCTGTTACAAATTGTATTATATTCAGAATTTCATATATTAACTTTTATAGAATTATATATGTATTCATTAAACTAATTGAAAAAACTTATTAATAATTTTGATAATCTAGAAGATTTATTTTTATATAACTATAAATATA